ATTTTCCGTTTGTATCTATTAAAGTGAAAAAACAGTTTACTGTAGATCTTCTTCTTTATTAAATTGCAAAACATCTTGTTCTCGAATATTTTTCATACCTTGAGTTATGCTATTATTGATTTTAGATTCTTTTGCCACGGTATCAATTATCTCGATATAATCCGTAGAAGGGTAAGGTTCCGTTGAAGTGATGCCTTGCCGTGTACCGAAAATCTCATCGCCAAGTGCTACAGTTGTCCCGATAGTCTTAGTACTCTGAAAGTCCGCGAACGCGTTAGAGTTCGTCGGTATCGAGGACGAGTGCGTCCGACTTTCATCCTTCTGCGTGAAATCTAGCAACGGTGACTCCTCAAAATTTATTGAATCTTCAACGTTTCCGGAAGATTCGTCTATGTGTAAAGGTGCGCTAGAGCCCTCAGCCACGTTAGCGCTAGAGGACAGGTCGTTATACGGGTGCTCGTAATTGCTTGGGAACCGATCAGGGCTGGAAATTCCGTAGCTGCTGGGAAAATTTTGATTAGTTTGACTCACGTCAGATCCACTCAATCCCGTTACATCATAAAGTTCTTCGTTATTAGATACTCCCGAAGTATGACCGTGAGACACTTGAGTGCCGCTGGAAGACAAATCATTATGTGCCACATTATTTTGATTTTGAACATTTTGAACATTTTCGAATTCTCCGTTGCTTATACTAGGATTAGTATATCCTAATTCTTGTGAAACAATTCCTCCACTTGAATGAGTCAAAGGACCTGGATACACATATTGTTCGTTATGTCCACCGTTGAAAGTAGGTTCTGCTATCGTTGATGCACTATTGGAAATTGATAACGTCGGTGAGTTAAGATGTCCTGAGTTTTCATGGGGAATGACTTGTACAGGTTGTTTAAAATTGACTGCTTTAAAGAGCGGTGGCATTGCTCCAGGAAACAGATGCGGGTTTGGCAACAGGTTAAAAGGACCGTTCTGTCCAATATTGGGTAATGGTGGCGCGAAAGAGAAGTCCGGAGCTCGGACTTCTTGCGAGGCAGCATGATAAGCGTCATGAGGTATTTCGTGATTTGTAGGCAGGTATCTGTCACCTGGCGATTCAAGTGGCGGTGATGCATACGAAGCGCTTCCTACATGTCCGTCATGTCCTTGTTGCGTGTCCTGTATCGGCACCCAAGGGATTCTGTTGCAAGAACTGCAATTCTTGATTTGAACCGGAGCAGGATATCCCGAATAAACGTTGGGAAGATGATTGAGAGAGGTCGGAGGAAGAGGTGGTTTCTCATAATCCACAGGTGGAGGACCATTGTAGGATTGACCGAATTTTGCGACTTCAGGCTGCGGAGGCAGTAGCGACGGCGGCGGTGGTGGCGGTTGTGGTTGTGGTTGTGGTGAAGAATCAGAACTGAAGGGATTCAAAAAGTTCATCAGCTGTTGGAAGTATCCTGGCTGTGGGGTTGGCTGATAATTCGCCAATCTTGGAATTCTGCCCGGATAAGATTTTGATAGAGGCGGTGGAATAAGATATTCGTTGATTCTGCGAACGCGACGAACATTGTACTGTCTACTCCAAGCATTCTGGTTAGCAAAAGCCCCGTTGATTATGTAGATTATCAACAGTAAAAATGGCAAGACCTGCAACATGAGACCATTGCTAGTAAGAAAATGTTATTAATGCCTTTTCGATAGAACATACTCGACTTTTCCAATATTTTTTTGTTGCTTATAATATGATACCATTGTGTTCCTTAATGTCTGACATTTTGATTAAACAAATTTTTAACAATATATTCACTTTTATGAAAGTTATAAATAATCGAACTAAATTGAGTATGCCATACATCAATGTGTTGTTTTCATAACAAGAGGCGTTTAAGATAAAAATGTTACTAATTGAAAATAATTTTGTTGTATCACAAATTATTTTATTATAATCAAGAAATAATAATACTGGAAGTAAAATCTTTGCTTTAAAATAATTTAACAAAGTATTCGTCCAAATCCAAATTTTCACTACATAGCCTTAAGTAAAAATGAGAAACGCAAATGTTTATTAAAGTAGATGAATGCATGCTAGCAATTGTTTTTCTCTTTCTCATTATGCTAGGTATCATTTGTCCAACGAAATCTCGTTCGCATTATATTATTATGTACACTTTCCGCAACAGTCAATGACGTGATGGAGAACAGCGTGCGGAGAAGCGAACTGGGTCGCACCATGAGAATCATTCTAAGCCACCGCGGATTATGTATGCCGTGAAACTAGACGCCTTCTCCCTTGTTATTCCAGAATGGAGTCCTCGTTGAACTCGGTTTTCCTCTCCTTAGTCCTAAATTCAGCTGATTACCCCGCTTTAATACGCCGCATGCAATTTACGTACGTGTAAGGAACGAACAATATTAGCGCGCCGCAAAAATCATTTAGTCGCAAAACGGCTAACAATTGGTTTGTGTTTCAAGTGCCACAAATCATATGCTCCCGTCACGTTCGTAATCTTCAGGTTTCATATTCGCTTAACGAATTGTTAAACTAACTATTATTAGATTTTATACGGCGCTCTTTATGTATCCCTATAATTCCAAAATTGGCTTTCAAATCGAGTGAAAACTCGCGCAATTGTCATTCGAGATTCTAAGATTCTAAGATTCTAAGATTCTTCGACCTCTTTAACCGACATAGAACTTCACAACCATCATCTTTCTCAAGAAATTCTAAGTTAACCAATCATTATCGACAGCAAAAGGTCATAAGGTATCCGAATGCAATATTACTATAAGATCAAGATTGTGCCACGAGAAAGGATCACGAATTCAATTCCAGTAGAATTACTTCAATCGATTACTCAATTATTCAATTGTATTTGTATAGAATAATTACCTAATAATTATATTTGAAGACAAAAATTTAAAACTTTAACGTATTTTGTATTTCTATATCATTTCTTAATCAATTTCTTATTTAATTATTATGGCGCATTTATTCTGAGATTATATAATTTCTACGATATAATATTCGAGTCATTACAATGAATATTTTCCATGAATACATTCAAATGTAATGATAG